AAGGTACACACACTACGTCAAAGGTATACACACTACGTCAAAGGTACACACACTACATCAAAGGTACACACTATGTCAAAGGTATACATACACAACGTTAAAGGTACACACACTACGTTAAATGTACACACACTACATCAAAGGTACACACACTACATCAAAGGTACACACACTACGTCAAAGGTACACACACTACGTCAAAGGTACACACAATGTTAAAGGTACACACACTATGTTAAAGGTACGTACACTCTGTTAAAGGTACACACACTATGTCAAAGGTCTACACACACACTACGTCAAAGGTCTACACACACACTACGTCAAAGGTCTACACACACACACACCCCTGCTGGAGGTGACATTCACTTCAAACACGTCTCATGATGGTTCTGACCCGGTTCTGTTCTACAGATCAGTACTTCAGAGGAGACGGGCTGACCCTGAACCAGAGGTTCTCTGCTCCACAGAAAGGCTTCTCTGAGGAGGAGCTGACCCTGAACCAGAGGTTCAGTTCTAGCAGGTGGGTCACATGACGGCACGGGTGGTCTCTGTGGTTCTGGTTCTGATTCTGTTATCCTGCAGAGGCTTCAGTTTAAACTCAGACTCTCTTCTTGACGACGATGATGATGATGATGAGCCGCTCTTCTCCAGGCTGGATGGCATGCAGGTGAGAACAAACACAAACAAACGTGTTCAGAACCGTCTGGGCTCAGCCCGTTACTCTAACCGGACCTCTCGGTACCACAGAACAAGCAGCCGTCACGAGGCCCAGGAGACCTGAGGCACGACCTGGACAGGAGGCGGCAGGAGAAACTGGAGGCTGTCAAAGTCACCATCGCAGGAAGCGGCTCGATTCAGCAGCGCTCGCACAGCGCCGTCAGGTGAGACCGGACCTACTTCCTGTTTGTTCATGTCTGTAAACAAACCTGACTTCCTGTTTGTTCATGTCTGTAAACAAACCTGACTTCCTGTTTGTTTATGTCTGTAAACAAACCTGACTTCCTGTTTGTTCATGTCTGTAAACAAACCTGACTTCCTGTTTGTTTATGTCTGTAAACAAACCTGACTTCCTGTTCATTCATGTCTGTAAACAAACCTGACTTCCTGTTTGTTCATGTCTGTAAACAAACCTGACTTCCTGTTTGTTCATGTCTGTAAACAAACCTGACTTCCTGTTTGTTCATGTCTGTAAACAAACCTGACTTCCTGTTTGTTTGTGTCTGTGGTCGTAAACAAACCTGACTTCCTGTTTGTTTGTGTCTGTGGTCGTAAACAAACCTGACTTCCTGTTTGTGTCTGTGATTGTAAACAAACCTGACTTCCTGTTTGTTTGTGTCTGTGGTCGTAAACAAACCTGACTTTCTGTTTGTTCATGGCTGTAAACAAACCTGACTTCCTGTTCATTCATGTTTGTAAACAAACCTGACTTCCTGTTTGTTTGTGTCTGTAAACAAACCTGACTTCCTGTTTGTGTCTGTGGTCGTAAACAAACCCGACTTCCTGTTTGTTCATGTTTGTAAACAAACCTGACTTCCTGTTTGTGTCTGTGATTGTAAACAAACCTGACTTCCTGTTTGTTTGTGTCTGTGGTCGTAAACAAACCTGACTTCCTGTTTGTTCATGTCTGTAAACAAACCTGACTTCCTGTTTGTGTCTGTGGTCGTAAACAAACCTGACTTCCTGTTTGTTCATGGCTGTAAACAAACCTGACTTCCTGTTTGTTCATGTCTGTAAACAAACCTGACTTCCTGTTTGTGTCTGTGGTCGTAAACAAACCTGACTTCCTGTTTGTTCATGGCTGTAAACAAACCTGACTTCCTGTTTGTTCATGTCTGTAAACAAACCTGACTTCCTGTTTGTGTCTGTGGTCGTAAACAAATCTGACTTCCTGTTTGTTCATGGCTGTAAACAAACCTGACCACCAAAATAAATCAATGAAATCACAACTTATCTGGAGTTAAAAATGAACTTTAAACTTTTATTTTAACGGTTCAACTTTTAAAAGGATTAAAGTTCTTGTTTATTCTAAAAGTAGCAGCTGGGAAAGAAACCAACAAATAAAACTTTATTTATAAAACCTGAGTCCTGACCCGTTGTGTTCCAGAGAGCCGGACCTGACGGAACACGAGGGGTTCTGGAGCGGAGAGCAGAACCGGAGGAGAGAGGGAAACATGGTGAGTCTCTGGGTGCAGACTAAACGCTGGAGTCTCTGGGTGCAGAATAAACGCTGGAATCAGAAACACTTTATTTCATTTTATCCTTCCTCCTCCAGGGACCAAGAAGAGCTTCTAACAGACCCAACCCGGGTCAGAACCGCTGGAACCAGAGACAGAACCCTGCAGGTGATGTGAAACCTGCTCCAGTATCACGTTGTTGCAGCTCAGAGGATAAAAGAATCTGAGCTGAAATGTTTAGTTTTATCTGAAAGAATGGATTTCAAGTCAAATCTTAAGTTTGATCTTTAACCTGTTTTTATTTCAGGTCCCAGCTGGTGACGGACCAGAAGTTTATTTTAAACCATCCAGAACCAGAACTTTTCAATTCTCCTTTTCCTCTGCTCCTCTTAGAGAAAATTATTCTGCAGTTTGAACTTTTTCTTTAACAGTTTTATTAAAGATGAAATGTAAAACTTGTTTTTGTTCTGGTTTAAATTAAAACTTCTTCAGCTTCAAACAAAAGTTTCATTTGGTTCCTCGGTCTCACAGAASAGGAGGAGGCGGTCCGCTGGAGTTAGGGTCTTTATTGGAAACATCAGAACATTTATTTATTCAGAGTCAGGGGTGGGACAGAGCAGAGGGTCCTGATCTGAAATAAGATCTTTACACAAATTCTGACTTTATTTTAAAAACATGAGTCAAGGACCTGATCCAGGACAGAAAATCAGTTTTTACAGACGGTCGCCTCGTTTCTCCAGTTTAATGTCAGAAAAACAAAGTTTGTCTCTGAATAAAAACAGCTTTTAAACTGTCTTCAGCTCCGACAAAAAACAAGTTTTATTCTGATTCTAAATCCCACAGAGGGAAATTAATATAAATACTTGTTTTAAAATGAGGTGGTGATATTCTGCAGCTGAATCTACAAAATAAAACAAATCAGTGAATGAAATGAAAAAAAAAAAAGTTAGAATATTTTCTGATGGAGTTTAAACAGCTTAAAACTGAGAAAACCAACAGGAAGAGTAAACAAACAATAATAAACTGAGTTTTAATAAAATAATGTGCAGAATCGTCCCAAAACCTCCCCGATCGGAGCGTCTGTAGTAAAATCCAGCCTTCAGTCGCAGCGTTAGATCTGAAAGGGAAATTAAGTGATTTTAACTGAGTTTACTGTGAAATTATCTGATAATTAAAGAAGAATTTAATCCTTTAAACGTTTCTATAAAAACCAAAACATTTAGACATCGATGTTTTTAACGTTTCAGCAGGTTGATATAAAAAACTCACGTCATCGATGTCCTCGTCGTCGTCCCCGATGTCGTCGAACTGGATCTCATCGTCGTCTCCGGGTCCAAACGTGTCCGTCTCGTTGATTTTAGCTGCGAGGAAAACAAACGATTTCATAAAGAAAGACGGACAAAAAAATAAAACTCGTCTGTGACATTTAAAAATAAGAGTCTACAGAGAACAGGTGGATAAAACACCTAATATTCTGATTTTATACAGTAAATCATGTAAAACAATATGTTCATAGTTTTACTGATACGTTATTAAACAGATTTTAAAGAACTGAATTATTTTACTTTTATCAGTAATAAATCTGCTGGTAAAAACCTGTATCTGCACCTTTTCCTGGAACTTTTATTTTGTAGTTTAACAGGAASTGGTTTTCTGAGCTGAGGGGTTAAATGTGTCCAGACTCACCGTGTTCTGGCAGCTCCCCGTAAGCCTTCAAACTGCGAGCCTCGTCTGCGTTGTACTTCAGGATGACGTCGGCTTTGTTGTCCTGAAACACGTCAGGAAATAAAAATGAAGACGTGAAGGAGATTAAATCTAAACTCTGAATATAAATACAGTTATTAACAGGAAGTTTGATGATTAAACTCAAATATTTAAAGTTTGACGTTTTTATTATAACTGATAAAATCTGTTGAAGAAGCTCCGTCAGAACTGATGGTTCTGAAACAGGTGGAGGTGATCACTTTAACTCAAGTATCAAGAACTATAATCTGGATTAGACGGTCAAAGCCTTCACAATAAAAGCTGTAAATAACAGAAACAGTCTGTTATAAACCTGATCCAGGTCTGACGTGGTCTCATCTGACCCTGTTAAAACCCCAGATCTGAACCCACCTGGTAGTCCCTCAGCCCCACCAGGATGATGTCGGACGTGTTGATCCAGACCTGCAGGAAAACAAAAACACAGTTCACCCGAGTCGCTGTGACCTCTGTGACCTCCACAGTGAAGTGGGCGGAGCCAGGCCAGGCTGTGACCTCTGTGACCTCCACAGTGAAGTGGGCGGAGCCTGTCCAGGTGAAAAGAGCCTCTACCTTTTTCCGGAGCTTTCCTCTGATGTGGCAGAGCCTCTTAGTCCCATCGAAGCACATGGCCTCCAGGCGCCCGTTCCCCAACATCTTGATCACCTGAGCGTATTCTGAAACACACCTGGAGTTCAGCTCAGCGAGTAAACAAACAAACAAACAAACAACCTGCTGACATTTTAATAAGTTCTGATAAACATTTAGACACAAACTGAGTCATCGTCTGTAAAACAAAGTTTAAAATGTAATAAATGAAACGTGTCTGTTAGCAAAATATCTCCTGAACCAGCTGAGGGATTTTAATAAAACCCAGGAGGTAAAACTGGACCAGGTCTGAGGTGATGTGTAGAACCAGGACCAGGTCTGAGGTGATGTGTAGGACCAGGACCAGGACTCACCCTGCCCGTCCTCTTTGAACACCAGCTCTCTCTTCTCAGACTCATTCTCGTTCTTTCCACGTCTCCGGTTCTTACCTCCTTTACCTGTGAACACAGACCAACATGACTGTCAAAAACTGGTCCTGAAGACACCCGGATCCAAACTGAAACCAAACCTTTCAAAATAAAACAACTAAACCTGAACTTTCTGCTTCACATGACTGATAATAAAACAAAACTTCCTGTTGTTCTTTAGCCTGTTTAAATAATAAAAAGTGACTCCAGACTTAATAAATAAGGTTTATCAGCTGACAGGATCTGGATCAGAACTTTTACAGACTAACTTATAGAGACTCTTTAATTTAATCATGTTAAATAAATAATCAGCTAATATGTAGCAACATGAGGCTAACTAGCATTCAATTTAACAGTACATTAATTAGCTCATTTAAACCTCTCTAACAAGCTAAAATAAAGCATTTAAACCGGTTTAATAAATAAAACCCGGGTTACTGAGTGATTTTAAATAAAAACAGGAGCAGATGTGAGTGAGGCCGGCTCAGGGTGGGGTTTAACGCAGTTAGCTAACAGTTAGCAGCAGGTGAAGGTTCACCAGCCTCATCAGATCTAAACCAACTCCATTAATCCTGAAGTTCGGTTAGGTTTTCACACACAAACCGGTGTGAAACCAGATTAGAAACTACGCGGCTGCTAACCAGCGTTAGCCAGCCCGGGTCACGTTTTCACCGCGGCGGGTTAAAACCACCGAGCGACGTGTTTCACCGTCAAAACACGTCGTTGTTCGGACCTCCTACCTTTATTTTTGGGCATATTCTTTCACTCCTCGGCCGCGTGGAACCCGCTCCGCTGAAGAGTTCTGTGAAAACTGTTTACAGGAGTCAGAAAAAGCTGAAATCAACACGAACTGTGGCGATAAAGCAGCTAATCAGCGCTGAAGCTGTCTGTCGAGCTGCGCATGCGCGGAGGAAGGAATTCAAAACGTCCGAGCTTTATTGGAATGGTTATTGTTACAAACACAAAGGTTTTGTAGTCGAAGTTATGGAGCTCCGAAAACGCCAGAAAAATAAATATGTTTTTAAATTCTATATTTTTTATTTTCTATTTTTTATTATATTTTTAAAGGTTTTATTTCAATTAAAATATGCACACATGCACAAGGGCGTAACTTTAGATCTATCATTGCTTCATGCTTTTTCCCTACATATTACAATAATGAAAACCATTACGTTTGCTGCTATGAAAGAAGTGATTTCCATTTTTCTTTCAGTGCTCACACCTCTGATGGAGAGTCAGACAGGTTTATATTGTTTCTTGTGTAAAATTATTATTTTAGTATTATGTGTATTTTTCTGTAGGAAGTGCTTCAAGCTGTTTTATGCTGAAATATCAGCGAATGTGTAGGCATCGCAATATTTTGTTTATTAGTATTGCATAGTTTTGTATTAGTATTTTTTCACGTGTGGTTTTTATATTTGTCTGAATGTTCAAAATGCCTTTTATTTCTCTTTTGCACTGTTTTCATGTTCAAAACTCATGTTTCAAGTGAAATATCAAAAGTTCATGTAGAATATCAATGTRATTTGAGAATGGACTGTTATTGGGCCAAATTCCACCTGTGTTTATAATTATCGTTTGCTCAGCATTTTGTACACCCAGTGTCCTAGACTCAAGAAATTACAGGTAAATATTCTAAACATGTACAGTGAGTTTTGCGACAAAAATTATGTATTGTGGAAGCTAACTGATGTGAAGGATTATTTTTATTTGTATGCATAAACATTGTTAATCAGGGACTACAGCTAAAAACAGGTTATAAACTTCTTTTTTTGCTGCTAATTAACTATTATTTTTAAWTGCTGTCACTCAAGTCTGTGACTACACAGATCACAAAGTCTGAACATTAATAACCCTCAGGAGGGAGGGCAGAGATGAATTTGCATGTGGGTTCAGACAGTTTTAAAAGCTTGAACTTTAGTATCAGTTTGAACTTTTCCAATAAAAAATAAATAAATTCATCTGGTTGTTTCTGTAAACAAAAAACTTTCAACACGTCAGACAGAAACGACACGTTTTCATTTGATTCTTGTATTTTATTATTTTCCAATAAAAAGTCCAACTCTGCAGGTAAAAAACAGAGCTGTGGAGGCAGCAGCAGCGCTGAACACGTCTCTGACAGGATCTGATGACGAGGAGGAAGAACAAAGATGGAGAGAAAAGAAAAGAGGAATCTGCTCCTCTGTTCAGAATCACAGAAGAAAAGTCTGTTTTTTTAAATCCCAGAGCTGTTTGCAGACAGACGGTCCAAAACAAATAAAATATCAACAAATATATTCAAAAACTATATAAAAAACATAAAATCTGAAATTTATCCCTTTGAGCYGACAGACATCAGACTTCTGAGATCACGTCTGGTTTTATTTTTTTAACTTCTATGGAAGCCCAACACTGCCAAAAACAAAAAAAAACAAAATGGAGTCAAATTTTACATCATAATTTAGACGTTTAAAAAAACAAAACAAAATTTGCTAAAACAAGCCTCCATCTGCTCAAATACTGTTGGATTTTCACACTAAAACATTTTTTAATAAAAATGTCATTTTTTGCAGCAGAAGCTGAAACATGCAGATTATTTTCTCTGATAAAAGAGGCAAACCTGCAGATTTTATATCAAGCTTTGAGCTCAGATTACATGAATTTACTTATTATTTTGATGTAAAATCAAAAAGTTTAATCTTCAAATTAAAGGTGATTTTTTTTTGCTGTTTTTATGTTTTTGCATAAATTAATTTACATGATTATTTTTCATGCAACATAAATGAGTCAAACAGCTGAAATCAGCTGAATGAACCGTTAATTTCTCCATCAGCTGCAGCTGATTTCAGACAGATGTGCAGCCGAAGCAGCAGCTGGAATGTTTCTCAGGTTTTAAAGGGATCTGGACAGAAAACGAGGAAGAGTTTGATTCAAAAACAAAAACAACTTTTTMAATTTAAGACTAAAGCAGGAAAACAAACATCTGAAGGAGCTCCTGATGTTTTCGGCTGACAGTTCGGCTCGTGTTCTTCTCACCTGCCTGACTTTAAAAAAACCTTGATTCATTCTTAGAAACCTGAGTTTTTGTTTTTGTTTTTTCCCTGGTTCTGCTGCGGCGGTCGGGTCGGGTCGACAGAACGGATCAGAGGCTGAAATCTGAGCTCAGGAGTTCGGTGCTTTTTTAGGACGTAAATTTTTTTTCTTTTTTTTAATGGAGAAAAAAGAAACCATCTGAGAGTTAAACTGAAGTTTAAATTTGAATTTAAAATCAAAGTCTTTTATTCTGAAAATAATTTTTTAATCAAAGCAGATTAAGTTTCTGTTCAGCTCATGAAATGATTTAAATTTTTATTAAAGCTGAAACAAAATTAATAAAATTAGTAATATTAGCTGAACAAATGGACAAC